CAATCAAACCCAAACAGATCATGAACAAAACCCTGCTCCACAAAATGTTTTATGTGTCTCTTAATAATAATACGGGGTTTAGCCTTTTGGACCTGCATATCAGACAGGCCGCCACACTGCCTGCTTTTAAATCGCTTTCTTAAAACCCACCTCTTCTCCTTAGCGTATTAACATCTTTTAGAGCGTTGCTTTTATTGCTTTTAAATTGTCTATTGTTTTTACTTGTATTTGTTTTATGGTGTGTGAGCTGAGCTGTGTTACTTTTTGTACTTGCACTATATATTTCTGTTTATCTGTATTATTGTGTTGCACTGTTGGAGAAGCCTGTGACCTAAGATTTTCATCGACATAACTACTCTGTAGCTATGTTCGTATGACAAATAAAGAACCTCGAACCTTGAAATAACAAAAAGCGCTCACAAAGCGCTAACAAAAAGCGCTCACAAGGCTCACATGAGTGAAAAGCGATCCTTTCTGAGCTGAGGCTTGGCACGACCATTCGGGGAAACAAACAAGACGAACTCACACAGGACAGGGGAGAGACAGGACTATTTAAACATGAGGTGAGTGGGAACAGGTGGAAACAATCAGGGGCGGGACAGACACTGATGATGGCGGGAAAAACACACAAGGGGAGGAAGAAACAGGATCTGAAATGAAAGACAAGAGGTAAGTACAAAATAAAACAGGAAATGGAAAACAAGACATGACAATAAACACAGAGACTGACTAGAGATGAAATGACCTTAAATAAACAGACATGACCAGACGTGAAAAAACATGAAATGACAGACATAATAAATAAACACATTTGACGAGACACAACAGTACCCCCCCTTCTAGGGACGACTCCTGACGGACCAGGCTGATCAGGACGACGATCGTGGAAGTCCCTGATCAGAGTTTTATCAATGAATAGTGCAGGAGCTACCCATAAGCGTTCCTCAGGACCGTATCCCTCCCATTCAACTAGGTATTGCTGTCCTCGGCCCCGTTTGCGGACCGCTAGTAGCTTCTTGACCGTGTATACCGGGCCCCCGTCGATGATCCGGGGTGGTGGAGGGGCGTTGGAGGCGGGAACCAGGGCGCTCTCCTGAACAGGCTTGATCTTGCTGACGTGGAACGTGGGGTGGACCTTGAGAGATCTGGGGATTCGGAGACGCACGAGAAAGGATTAATAATGTTCTGAACTGGGAAAGGACCAACGAACCTTGGTGCCAACTTCCTGGAATGAACATGTAGGGGTAAGTCCTTAGTGGATAACCAGACTCGCTGACCCGGTTTGTAGACGGGAGCTGCACGGCGGGACCGATCTGCCGCTGCATTCATCCTAGCGGATGTCCGAAGGAGTGCCTGCCGAGCTCCGACCCAGACCTCATGGCGTGCGCAGACGGGACTCTGACCTCCTCCTCGTTGGCTGGGAACAGCGGGGGTTGATATCCATTGGCGTACTGGAAGGGGGAGAGGCCTGTAGAAGCCAAGGGAAGAGTATTGTGGGAGTATTCCACCCAGGTGAGTTGGTCGCTCCATGACCTCGGGCTCTGGGACACGAGGCACCTGAAGCAGGTCTCGAGGTCCTGATTTAGGCGTTCTGTCTGGCCATTGGACTGGGGGTGGTAGCCGGAAGACAGGCTGACGGTGGCGCCTAGGAGCCGGCAGAATTCCCTCCAGAAGACGGAGATGGACACCACATACTGGGGAAGCCATGAATCCTGAATACGTGGGTTAGCATGACCTCTGCCGTTTTCTTGGCAGAGGGAAGTTTAAGCAGAGGGATAAAGTGAACCATTTTGGTGAAACGGTCTACTACCGTCAGGACGGCAGTGTTACCCTTAGAAGGTGGTATTCCGGTGACAAAGTCCAGCGAGATATGGGACCAAGGGCGTTGGGGCACGGGCAGAGACTGAAGTAAACCCATCGGAGCTAGGGATGAGGCACGGGACAGGCAGCCACGTATTCCGTCACCTCCTTTACCATGGCTGGCCACCAGAAACGCTGTTTTATGGTTAACATCGTTCGCCGGATACCTGGATGACATGTGAGCTTAGAGGTGTGAACCCAGTGAATTACCTTGGAGCGTAATGACACAGGGACAAACAGACGATTATTCGGACACCCACTAGGTGCTGGGCTCACAACATTAGCCTGCTTCACATAATTTTCTATCTGCCAGGAGCCCGCCCCAACCACACAGTTTAGTGGAAGGATTGCCTCTGGTTCCTTGGCAGTAGGCTCTGGCTCATAGAGTCGTGACAGTGCGTCTGGTTTTCCATTCTGAGTAACTGATCGGAAGGAAATCGTGAAGTTGAATCTGTTAAATAACAGAGACCAACGGGACTGACGTGAATTAAGTCTCTTGGCTTTCCTGATATACTCTAAGTTCTTATGGTCTGTCCAAACAATAAAAGGTTGCTCCGCCCCCTCTAGCCAGTGTCTCCACTCCTCTAATGCTGCCTTGACCGCTAGCAACTCCTTGTCACCTACGTCGTAATTCCGCTCAGCTGAGGACAATTTACGGGACAGGTAGGCGCAGGGATGCATCCGGTTGTCCTTGGTGGATCTCTGGGACAACACTGCTCCTATTCCCACATTGGAGGCATCCACTTCCACCACGAATAGTCGCTGGGGGTCTGGGACGGTAAGAACAGGTGCCATGGTAAATCTCTCCTTAAGAGTCCTGAAGGCGGTCTCGGCCTGGGGACTCCACTGAAAAGAGACTTTGGAGGAAGTGAGATTATGCAGGGGAAAGGTGGAGACAGAGGCGGAGGCAGGTACTTGTGGTAAAAGGTCAGAGCTCCGGTGCCGAGGCGTGCCGACAGCATGCCGACAGCATGCTCACAGCGAGCGGCCGAACGCTTGTCAACACGATGCCGGTGCACTTCACTGACCACGGTGCACTCAGCAGAGCACACACACGACGGACGCATGGCACTGTAGAGAGTGAGGGTCAGTGTTGTAGTCAAGTCACCAATTCACGAGTCCAAGTCACTCTCGAGTCCCCACTTTTCGAGTCTGAGTCCAAGTCCGAGTCACCTAGGGAGAGTCGGAGTCGAGTCCAAGTCCGAGTCACCCAAGGAGGGTCCGAGTCGAGTCCGAGTCATCATTACCTGTGTTCGAGTCCGAGTCCAAGTCACCCAAGGAGTGTCCGAGTCGAGTCCGAGTCATCATTACCTGTGTTCGAGTCCAAGTCACAAGTCTTCATGTATTAATCTTAGTGGATATATTTGTTGAAATGCAGCTATAGCTCCTCTACATTGCTTTTATCCTGTCATGTTATACTAATGTGTCTATTGGACTGCTGTGAAGCGAGTTTGGCTACAATTCTTGTAATAGGTGCTATACAAATATAAAGTTTATTAACTTATTATATGAATAATATTCATATTAATATTATTATTATTATTATTTATATTATTGTAAATGACCTTCTAACTATATTTAAAATTAGTTACCTTTTAGAGAAGTGATTATATTTGTATGCTAATATTTTCTTATGGTAAAGTTTTCGTTTTGCACTTTTATTTTGATAGTAATAAGATCGGGACTCTTATTTGGAAGGAACTTTTACCGGAAGTCAATGGACAACGGAGCAGTGTAAACACACATGTATAATGACGGATAGATGACGAATACATTAACATATACTAAATAGTTACATTGGGTTTTTAGCACCTGGCTGATAAGGGCACAAGCTCTTACGTTGGTAATGATTGTATAAAAGCAAGGGTGTGCAATAAACAGATACCATCAGTTGGAGAGTCTGACCATCATTCAGCCGGGGACGCTACACTTATTATAGTGAATGTTTAAATTCTATCAATAAAGATTAAGCCCCAGAAAGCACATGGCTACTTAGCATGCAAAATGACACATTCTGCATGTTAAGTAGCCATGTGCTTTCCTGTTATCGGCTGAATCTTTATTTATTGATTAGATCACATTACTCGGATGAGTGTTCAAGACAGCCTATATGTCTGAACTCGATCCTTAGAGTAATGTGTTATGGAGTCTTCTCTTCAATCTTTTTTCCACATAACGAGCATTTTGCGCTGCTCTTTCCCAATGTGGAAGCAGAATGTGTGAAAGCATACAGCAAGATGCGGGGTGTGTCTCTGGTCATCTCTAGACTGGAATAGCGGGGCCCAGTACGTGAACTCGCCTCGCAGGTGCACATGCCAGGATAGAGGACATCAGACTCCAGAGAAAACTTGCTTGAGTCCGAGTCCAAGTCGGAGCGTCAATGTACAAGTCGAGTCCGAGTCATCGTGGGGGAAAAATTCACGAGTCCGAGTCCAAGTCATCGTGCACGAGAATTCACGAGTCCAAGTCCGAGTCGCGTCAATCAGTGCGCGAGTCGAGTCATGAGTCACTGTGCGCGAGAATTCACGAGTCGCGTCAATCAGTGCGCAAGTCCGAGTCGAGTCACGAGTCCCGAAAATCGGCACTCGAGTCCGACTCGAGTCCGAGTCCAGTACTCCATCTCTGGTGAGGGCTGAACGCAATCATGAACCAAGACCCCGAATAAGACCATGTAAAAAAAGGCCAGTGGGTAAAATGGTTTTCTGCCCCGGAGCTGGAGAGATGTTTAAATGTCTGGGTTGATAAGGTTGTTTATCACATTGGAGAATTCATTTACTGCTGATGTTTATTTGACTGTTTCTCTGCCTGTATTTGCTGCAGGGTCAAAAATGGAATGACGTAAGATGTTCCTGTATGAGGTATAAGCTTGTACTACTGTAAGCATTGGATTGAGAGGTCATGTGTTTTGAGCATGCGGAGTCAAGTTGTGAAGGAGAGTGTGGTGGGACTCTACAATAATAAACGGAGGCGCTGTCTGTGACGCTCCAAAAAGTACTTTCCAGTGAAAGAATCGACCACGAGAGGAGGTAGAGTTGCAAACCGTGGTGACTTTTATTTCTCAAACACCACAACAGAACAGATAGCCAGCATGTAGGTGTTCCCCACTCTCTACAGGTTCACCGCTCTCTGTACATGTTCACCCTCCCTCTCCGACTGAAGACTGGCTCATTTATAGAGGATCTTCCAAGGATGTAATTGGGAGAAACCATTCACAGGTAATGATAATAAAACTACATGTCATCATAATTGTCATAAAGAACCTCCACAACATCACGTTCATAGCATTACCAGTTGTGTCTACCCATCTGTTAATTTAACCCAAAACCAACATTATAACTGAACAGAATACACATAAATACATTCCCACCTAAAACAGAAACCCCTGCGCCTATCTCGCCACTTGGTTCGTCCCGGAACCTTCTTTGGTCAGTGTTTGTTTCCCCCGAGGACCTTTTGGCCAAACACACTGGAGCGGACACAGGACGAAACAACATGGGTAAGCGACGTAAACTTTACACAGTGTTCACTTCTACAATTAATGCAACTTACGTCATGATATATACACGCTATTATTTGCACACAATGATTAATCTCAACCGCTGTCAATCTTACACAATCATAAACACTTTCGGCGCTCTCGCTAACTCCCCTCTCTTTTCAGGTGGAGCCGAGGACCCGACCAGCATCTGCCAGACGATATTCCAATAAATACGGTTTAATCATTTCATAAATACTACCTCAATAATTAGTATAAAATATGTAAAAATGTGCAAATATGCAATGCCAAACTGTACTGTGCAATCACGCTAATAAAGTGCAAACTGTTCACTACTAAAGTGCTGAGTAGGGATGGGTATCGTTTGAAATGTATCGATTCCGATTCCGGTTCTGCTTATCGATTCCGGTTCTTATCGATTCCCCGTTTAGATTCCAAAATTGTAAAAGAAAGAGGTCAAACGTTTAGATAACAAAAATATCTGACATTTTTACAAATAAAAAATATACATGCAATACAAATGTATTGCACAATAGCTGTGCTTTATTTTAACTGAGCTATGCCTGTGGCAAACTATTAACAGGCATTACACTGTGCATTGTCTTTTTCTTTGTTAGTGTAGTGGAGCCTCACTTTAGAGCGTTTACCGCGATCCATCTTTGGTGTTATGAAGTGACTGAGCTTGTGAACTGTCTACGGGAGGGCGGGGGGAGCCTCGCTGCGGGGAAACTGTGGACCTCTGTCGCCTGTCAGCGCAACTTACATGATGCCGTTTAAAAAAATTAAGCGCGGTGCCGGCCGTCAGCGTACCGATCCTGGCCTTCAACGGCCCGCTGACGACCGGCCGTTCTGTGATTCTCCAGAACACACAGATGGCCAGTCCGCCCTTACCCTGGCTGTATTCCACCGGGTCACCGCGGCGCAGACGGACCCGGTGGAATACAGAGTCTACCGCGTTTAGGAACCGTTAAGCAGAACCAAAATTGTGTATTTTGTATGGGTACCCGGTACCCGGCATTTTCTTATCGGTTCTCATCTGGAACCGAGTTTCGGTTCCCAACCCTAGTGCTGAGTGACATTATTTCTGTGCAAAAGGAAGTTGTTATATAAAGTGCAAACCCACATGTGCAATATTACAAGGGCCCAAAGCCGTCAGTCCATAGTAACGAAGTTACCTTCGTTACAGAACTAATCAGACTGACAATGCAGGATTATTGTTAAAATGTTTAGCAAGCAGATTCTGAAGGCTCGGAATCTTTAAGTGCAATATCCCCTCAGCCAAACTCAGATTAACTGACTATAAATAAAAATAAACTGTTAAATATAAAACATTCAAAATAAAGATAAATCGTTGCGGAGAAAGCAGAGCACATATTATGATAATGAGAAAGCTAAGTACCCTGTGTGTTGAAGCATTGCATTATCATCTGTGGATAGATTTTCAATTTTCTTTTCAAACTAATTTTGTAAAATCAATACATTGTCGCAGAAGCAACTTATACTTGTGACTAGCAGTGTTTGCATTTACATATTCTTTTATTATTTTGTATTACATTAGAAAACCTGTATGGAATGGGCAAGTTTTTATAAAAACGTTCTCAATTCATGCTAACTTATTATACATTAGAGACATAATACATTTTATGATGTAATAGTTGCACCAGTAAATTACATTGCCATCAGCCTGAGCTGTGTTGTGTTTTGTACAAAATGGAAAATGTTTGCATGCTTACATTATTCTTGCTTTACAGAAGCAAGACATTTCGGTCTAGTTAGCAGTATAGCTCGCTGATGTTAGCATTTAGCTTTAGCCTCAGAAAGCCGTTAGCATGGCTGCAGACTCACTTAGTCTTGTGACCAATTGAACATGATGCGTTAATGAACAGTAGAATCAAATAGATGATGTAAAAGCAGTAGCAGAATTTCTTAAATATGTAGTCCTTAGATAAGTAAAACAACTTTATACAAAATGCAATCTACAATTAAAACAAATGTTTTTCTTCTACATTTCAAGTTATGTCATCAAAACTTGTGTTATTTTTAATAGATATAGTTATGCTTCCCCGTTACAATTGAGGCTTCAGGATTCGTATTTTAGGTTGTGGAAATTATAAACAATTTAACCTCTTAAGCCCTGAGCCTGTTTTTTAGGTCTCAGGCTCGTAAATGACATTGCCAGAACAAATGACCATATCTTCACTTCTAAAAGGGTTAAATTAATAATCTTTATTCTCAAAGTAATGATAAACCTGTGAGTTGGATGTAAAAAAGTCAGAATCAATATAGATCTTTTTTATTTTAAAGAAAATTCAGATTTTACATAGTAAAAAACTGTAAATTATAGTGTCCGTCCAAAAATTATTTTTTACTTATAGTGAAAACTACCCTTGGATGATGGGTTAGTAGACTGAAAGCTTTAGGAATCCAAAGTACAACATATAATAAGTACCCTGTATCAAGATTGATGCAAAACAAGTGAAATGTGACCTTTTTAGAGAGATTTAGCAAAATAAACCCACTTCTGGGGTCATTTGGGTGGATTTGACCTATCTCTGGCCCCCCTTGCTCGATTTTGATGAATGAAATCTCTTTATAACCGCTAGAGCCAATGGAATCGAGGGAAAGTTATATACACACCAAAACGTTAACAAATAAGGAGTGAGAGGGTGTTTCTCAATCGCGAGTAAAGCTGCTGCAGAGCCACTATTTCAAGCATACTACGTCATCGAGTGCCGCCAAAGTACTGTTCCAATCTCCAGCATACTTGGAAATCTACCGAGCCCGGCGTACTCCGTTTGGAGAAATATCGAGGCTGCACATGAGTAGACTCCGCGGTCTTAAAATCCCCACAATGCTTTGCGCACGGACCAATTTCCCCAAATCTGTGGCGGAAGATGTAAGGCGGGGCCTCTCATATGACGCACACCTGCACACTTGCTAGCCTGTTCCACTCTTTGTTTTCAAAATGTCAGGAAGTATTCTTGACTCGCTTCTGAAGCAAGATGCTCGGCAGACATGTGCTACCAAGCAAGCGTACTCGCGATTGAGAAACACCCACTGTGACGTGTTACCAAAACCGGAAGCTGCATACACTCTGGTGGCTACCATTAGCAGCTAACTTTTCCGCTCCGATCTTTACATAAAAAATGGAATTATGGATTATAAATAATTTCTTCAAAGGCACAGGTACATTATCAACCTATGGATCAACAGTTGTAGCATTTTTATTTTTCGTTTTAATGCCATTGAACACGTCTTTTGACCTAATTGACAGCTACGGTGAGACGATCTGCCGTAAAAGCTCCGTAAAGGTACGTGTTGTGATGTCTGTGTTTTCTTCCCCTGTCGCAAGTTCGGATCGCTCAGTGATGATACTATACCTAAATAATCTGTGGAGTCTCAGTTTTAATCGGATATATTGTATGTGCAGCTACGATAAGTAATAAGGGTATTTTTATCTTGAATTGTGTGCCGCAGTGCGTTAGAATTCTTTTTCGCTCAGGGGTCATTTAGACGCTTCTTATGAGACTTGTGTTTTGTTTTGGTAAAAATGGTTCATATCTTCAGTTAGCTGAGATTCTTCTCGTTAATCTGGTGCTACACATTAATAGTTTCATAAATGTTAAGAAGCCCTGAGACATTATCTCGAAAAAAAAACGGTGGGAGGGGTCCAATGGGGGGACCACCGTGCTTGAGAGGTTAATGCAATCAAAAGCCATTCACAAAGTCTGTGCATTCACTGTGTGTTACACAATAATTCATTGAAAGTGCCTTTCACTGCACATTTCCTTTCCTTTACTACATGTATAATTGTAACACTGTGCAGTGTGGTTGTTTTAATGATGTGTTTCTGCAAGTGTGTGTGTGTGTGTGTGTGTGTTTGTGTGCGTGCGCGCGCGAGTCCCCTATGGCTTCTATCTATGGGAGCAGGGAGATGAATGGAGTATTCTGAATCACCGTTGATTACACAGCCTCTCCTCCCTCTGCTCTCCGTGCTTCACAGAAAACAAGACTTAGACACACAGAGGGGAAGGAGTCTCAACATGGAGTAAATAACATGGCAGAGACATGGGGAGGAAGGAAAGAGGAGGTGAGGTAAGGGGAGAGGAATAAATGGATAGAGAGTAAAATAAAGTCACGCAGGGACTCACAATGAACAAATAGATCAGTGTTTCTCAAAAGAGGAAATGTGTGACCCAAGGGGGGATTTGGAGTACTGCAGGGGTATGCAATTTTTTATTTCAACAAACAGATAATGACATTATAATACCCTTTAATAAAACTGCCATTTTATATACAAACTCCCTTTTTTCAATTCAAGTGCTGCAAGAATTAAAATGAAGGTCACCAATGTTATTTCAGTACAACCAGGAAGCCACATTTCCGATATTGAACGTCAGATGAAGGTCGAGAAAATAGATTTGATAGGTTGAAATGCAGCTGCAATAGCAACTGAACACAGGAGGAAATAAATGGAAAAGGAAGCCCATGTTTGTCATTGAATTTGTCGGGGCAACCTATCAAATACACACAATTAAATACACCTACAATGCTGTCTGATTTTCTGTCCCACGATGGTTGTTTCAGACACTGATGGCGCAGTACTCTATTGAGCTCTGATCCACTTTTTCTGCAAAAATGTATTGCACTGGTCAGGGGGTATTCAAAAAATAAAATATTTCAAGGATCAGAATGGACTGCTTGCCAATTGATGATTTCAAAGTTTTTTTATTGCCATTTCAAATCATATGTTCCGATGCTGTTCTTTCACAATAAAAGCTCTCCATTGGTGTAGGCATTTATTATGGAACAGCAATATTAGATCAAATGTATTGTATTCGCTCCAACCCTCCACCCCAGGCCCTCCAAAAACACTTAGGTGCCTACTCTTCACAACAACATGTGGACATTTTCAGGGTCCACATTTCTGTTCAAGGGGAGGAATTAAACGCTTTCAATGCTTTATTATTTCATGAGCAACAAAACAATTCCTGTTTTGCCAGATTTATTTGCCACAATGTACTTTTGAATTGTATATGTTGCCTCTTAAAAGGTGACACCATAATTATCATTCAGTTATTGTAATACATCAACTGTTTATGGAAGTCCATCGTATCTATAGACGGATTAAATTGAATAAGAATGACTTTGAAAGCTACACGTTTGTTAATGCTCCACAGAGTTTTTATTTCCCTTGTGAGGTGTAACATCCCCAGGCAAGGTTTCAAGTCACACACACCTCCTGCTGTTTGTGAACTCATGAACTAAATGTGTAATGATTGATCAGGAGCCCCGGTTTCACTTTGAGATCTCTGCGTTCACTGTGAGCATACAGAGAGAATTAACGCTGTTTAGAAATAAGAACTGGTGTTTTTTAATGCCTCGCCTGCAGTGTTTCTTTTTCCATACTTCAAGTTTGACCCAGGTAAACCAAAAATAACCCAGGCTGTTTGAAATCCTGGCTCCAAAATGTTGGATCAAACTCCTCATTGATGTCTGGACTGCAGGAACCTCAGACTGAAAACCCACCTGTTTCTACTGAAAATTGCCCGTTAATATCAAAAGAAAAACCAAATATGTATAAAGCGCGTGAAATAGTTAAGCTAACTGTCAGGACCTGGACACAAACTGATGAACCCAAATGCACGACCCAGAGACAAAGTCTTGAATATAAAAAAGGTATATTTATTTTTCTCAGTGCAGGTAATCCCTCTTAACAGAGCAGGTTGTGGAAATAACAAAAGACGCTCACAAGGAGGAAAAAACTAGCATAACAAAAAGAGGACTTAATAAAAACTTAAGCCAACAAAAAATAAACCAAATAACAAAACCTGACATGAGTGAAAAGCGATCCTTTCAGAGCTGAGGCTTGGCACGACCATTCGGGGAAACAAACAAGACGAACTGACACAGGACAGGGGAGAGACAGGACTATTTAAACATGAGGTGAGTGGGAACAGGTGGAAACAATCAGGGTTGTCAAATCAGTGTATCAAAGATGTAACCCAAATGTCCCGTAGCCTCTCTGAACACCCTGGGACTCTGCGTTGTGTTTATAATTGGTGATGGGATGTTATGCAGAGGGGAGGAAAACAGGACAGAGTAGATCGGATTGCGGTGGAGACGCTGAGTAGTGATTTATTTATCCCAATGGCAGCTCTTCTGACACACCTTTCGTGGAGGGAATACAAACACACAGGCAGACACTGATGATGGCGGGAAAAACACACAAGGGGAGGAAGAAACAGGGCCTGAAATGAAAGACAAGAGGTAAATGAACAAGACAGACTACAAAGGAGCAGCGGGGGGTAGCTATGTTCGTATGACAAATAAAGAACCTTGAAATAGAAAATAAAACAGGAAATGACAGACAAAATACATAAACATAACTAACACATTTGACGAGACACAACAAACTGAAAGCTAACTGAAAGCTAGTGTACCATCGGGATTCTCGCCGTTCTGAATCGGTACCCTAAAGTTCTGTCAGCTCGAGGAAATGTAAGGAGAATTCTCTGCTCTGCTTTAATTGCTTTAGTCGTCACATCTGTGGTTATATATTATAATAGAGGAAAATAACTTTAACACCTTGTTCCCTCTCTAGGCTTTGACTCATGAATTTCTGACATGTCTGGTGTGGGAAAGGTTGATCTACCTGACCACAGATGTTAAACACAGAAACGTGTTGACAAAGTACAGATTGAGTGCCCGTAGTTTGCCATATACAGGCAGGCATAAGAAAACATGGCTGCCGAAAGAGGAGAGATTACGCCGATTGGGAGGAACTGCTGTGCAAACAGAGCAGCACTTCTTCATACATTACATAACCCAAAACTCAAACCTGTCCAGAAACCATTTTCCCCCAAATGTTATAATGGGCATCCAGATCCACTATTTGAAACAGAGAATGAAAAACAAAAAATCATACTCTGGGAAATGAAAGAAAACTGCATTTTCGCAAGACTTGGTTTTTCCCTGGCTTTTTCACCTATTGATGTTTTGTGAATATATTATTAGCATAATCCTGCAAAAATAATTAATAATTATCCTCAATATCAAATACAATTTTTTTTCCACTATTTGGGTCTAAAAAAGGGAAAAGCTGGGGTTGATTTTGTTGTTGCATTTGCTCATTCATGTTCAAAAGAGTATTTTTTCCCTTGCAAAGCAAACATGTTATTTTGCTTTTTTTTTAACATAACAATACATTCCAAATGTATATATATATATATATATATATATATATATATATATGTCTAGATGTTGTACTTGTACAAACCTTTGGCAACAATGTATGTCATTATGGTCATGCGAATAAAGCTTTTGAATTTAAAGGTGGGGTAGGTAATTCACTTCAGAAACACTTTTTGTTATATTCCATGGAATGCTCTTAACATCCTGATAGCAATGAATAAATTAAATGCTTTGACAATAAATACATAAAAAAATGTCATCTGTGGAAGCCGTGGCGCTGTAAAAAGCACGACCAATCATCTGAGCCGGCCCGGCTAAAATAACTGGATGGCCTACCTGCCTGTCAGCCTTCCATCTGTGCACAAACTTATCTCGTGCCCTCATTGGTCATGTGCACGTTTGTGTGTGTTGGAGGAGGGGCTCTGTAAGGAAGTCTGAAGGAAGGGGCAGATTTTTTTCCGGTTGTGTATTTTCAAATTCTAGCGCTTACCTTTAAGAGAACGATTGTAAACCCCTGCCCTGCGTTGCCTCCACTGTCCCCAAACCACACCCATATTCCCTCTTCCACCTTTTCATTGGCTGTGCTGCCAGCAACAGTCTGCTCTCCATCCCCTCTGTTTCCCCCTCCTCTCTCTGCCCTTCCCTCTCTTTTCCCTCCACTCTCTCTCCCTCCCTCTCGTTCCCTCTCGCTCCCTCGCTCTCTCGCTCTCTCGCTCTCTCGCTCTCTCGCTCTCCATGCATCTTGCCAGTGAATGAATCCAGTCAGACACAAGCTGTTTAACAGTGCACACTCTTTCTCTCTCATCATCTCTTGCTCTCTTTTTCTGTCCTTTTCCCGTCTCAGGAGCAGACGGTCAGTGGAGCATCGGCTTCAGGACCGACACAGGACTGAGGGTTGGCAACATTTACACCATAACATCACCTGTGATGCAGTTAAGATCAAAGCAGGAGCAACAGATTGCCCCCAGTTGCGATTGTAGATGCAGATGATGCTCTCTCGGGTCTGGAAAGGAAGCAGATTCTGCAGCTGACGTCTCCTGGGCTCTGAGAGTCAGTTTGGGAAATTACAACAACACTGAGCAACAGAAAGGGAAAGCTTTGATTCAGACGGAAAGCAACAAGCTGGGCGTCAACATCACCTCCACCACAAGCGTCTCCTCCCATCATCCTTCCTTTCGCTGAGGAGGACCGGGCATCCGAGCTGTGAATGCACAAACAGCAGGAGGATTTGAGACATTCACAGAGCAGAGTTTAGAGGAGTTTTTCTGTGGAACATAACAAGCAAGATTGGATTTTGTCAGCGTGAAGGAGCAGGACAGACAATAATAGGTCTATCAGACTATCACCTGGACTTCTGAGGACAGCAAAGGAGGAGCAGGAGGATGTACGCCAGCATCTGCCAGAGATCAGAAGCAAAACAAGAACCATAGAGGTGGAGCAGAAATGACAGAAAGAGATTTAACTCTGCTTCGCAACCACAGATAGATAACTTAAAAAAGCCATAAATAAATTTGCCAATCATCAAAAGTGGGCGACGAACAGAAAGATATCTGACTTCAGAAGGATGTACTTGCAACACTGGAGCTTGCATTTCGCCTAACGTTCAGAAGACCATTTCTTCTTCAACGTCAACTTCTGCTGCGAGGACGTTTCTGCACCGATTTGTTCCGGTGCAAGTTTTGGGGTTCTTGCTCGACTCTTTCTTTTCCAGGGTGAGGTGGATCTGCCGTGGGGGGCAGCTGACAGCCTTCCAAGACGCCGCGAGCCGTACTCCGCGTGAAGAATGCCCAGCCGCGCCTGGCCAAGCCGGCCGACCCGGGCCCGACGCCGGGCCTCTACATGGAGCGCTCACAGAGCCGCATCAGCCTGTCGGCGTCCTTCGAGGCCCTCGCCATCTACTTCCCCTGCATGAACTCCTTCGACGAGGACGATGGGGGTGAGTAGTGACTCATGCTCATGCACAGAGATTGAAGGAGCAATGCATAACACATAGGACACAAGGCATGTAGTATGTCACCTGTCTGCTGGAAAACTGATGTTTCTATGTCCACGTCAGGCATTGTGTCATGGAAAATCTGACAGTTGTCATTCAGAAAAATCAGTACTCAACTTGAGCATGTCCTGCAACATGGAGTTCATTTGTAGGAGCAACATTTATTTTTTAGAGTATGTCAAATTTAACATTTTTGACCCAGTGTGTATTCAGTTTGTTAACTTTTTGTGTGCTTTTCATGGAGGCCAATATGGAGCCCTGCTTGAGGCTACTCCCCTTTTTCCCATGTTCCAAACTGTTTTTAGATGGCGCTTAACTGTTAGTTTATAACCTTTTTTGACAGAACACTTATGTTTGTTTGTTTCTTGTTATAGAAAGCTATTGAAGCTGGTGCACATAATACACTCTTTTTTACACTCGTTTTTGGCTGTAATTTGAGGCTCGTCTAACTGCATGCATCATACCTGGAGAATCAAGGCAAATGTTCTGTATTTAATTATTATTTTGTATTTCAAGATTTATATAAAACGATACACTACAAAGACTCACAATTAAGAGAAAACATGGCAACAAATCACACAAAAATACATACTACATACTAAATACATGAATACATTTTGGATTTTTTATTTAATTTAATTCTATTTGTAATTCAGTCTATTTTATTATTTTTAACTAATTTGTAATGCCTGCTGTGACAAAATGTTCCCAATGTGGGATGGATAAAGTATATTCTAATCTAGACGTCGGCACAAAACAAACAAACCCTGATAAAATATCAGGGCGGTTCTTCATCCTACCATTTTTGTAATATTGTGAAAAGTGAAGCATACAAAGCGGTTTAAAAGTTTAAAGGTATATCCATCCCAAATACTCAATTGTCTTGAACTGACAACCAAAGAGTTATATTTTTAGGGCACGACCACAAAAGATGACTGAATGTACGACAGCTATTTTTACATTTCAAGCTAAATTAGGCATAATGAGCACATAAGATCATAGTCACATCAAAAACTTGGGTTATAATATATACATATAATATAATTAAATAATTGTGTTCTTTTTATGCTTACTTGAGTATTTATCTCCGCTGATTTTTCCATTACCCTAAATGTTGTATGTTAAATTGGTAAATGATTGATCCAGTGTGACTCCGTGGTTTTGACACATAGTCTGTGTTTTGTTTACAACATGTATTAAAATGATACTGCCATATAGGGATGAAACAATGACTGGCTGACAGAAATTATATTATTTTCGTCAACAGTTATAATGCATATAAGAAATTATAGTTCAACTAATTCCTACTTATAGCCCTGCTAACATTTACAATACAGTTATCACTGATGGGTGAATGGCAGGTGTCATTTTCGTCGCTAATGTTGGCATTTAACCAGATGAAACACGTGTGTGTGTGTGTGTGTGTGTGTGTGTGTGTGTGTGTGTGTGTGTGTGTGTGTGTGTGTGTGTGTGTGTGTGTGTGTGTGTGTGTGTGTGTGTGTGTGTGTGTGTGTGTGTGTGGGACCTATGCATGCTGCTGTAAGTGATTTTATCTTCTGAAATGTCACATGCTCACTGAATAACAATGCTCTATAAAATTCAGAGTATTCATTTAATGCCAGTGTTCATCTCAGTCACATTTATTATTTTACTACAACCGGTAGAGTCTATAGAGTCAGTTTTGAAAGGGATGAGATATGAAACAACGGTATGTCTTCTTAGACAAATATACCTATTCAGACTTTCATGTCTTGTCCCCAATTTGGTAAATTCTGTTGGGTTTTGTCTCTTTTTTCCGCTATTTCCATTAAAGGCAATAGCCATGCATGCAACTTATATAAAAAACAACACTCATTTTATTGTATCTCAGTTCATCTCAGTGCTTTTAAACACAATTATATAGATAACACAATTAAATTAAAGAAAACATAGACTAAAATTGATATATGTTTCTAGGTCTGGGCAGTCACATGTGTTTTGTAAGTGTGTGTGTTTGCATGTGTGTGTACACCTGCATGGTTATGTCAGGGTCACTATGATTAGATTGTCTGTAGTATCAAGTATTTCCTCAAATGGGGAGCATCAGATGATGTAATTCATTTTGCTGTGCACTGGTATTATTGCTCCATTACATTACCTCTAATTTCCTGTCACACTAATCCTTTCTGAAAACGGCAGCACTGGATGGAGGATAAAGGTATGCTGTATGAATAAAGGATCTCTGGAAAAAAGTAAACAGGTTCTGATCAGAATGTGTGTGTGCAAGTTTGATTTAACATTAAGTAGGTCACAGGTATCCTGTTATTATAAAAACAATAAACCATCTTACAAGGCCACCAAGGGAGAATAACACACTGGGGACTTCTGGCAATTTCCCCAGGGATTTGCATTTTGGATTGCAAGTGTTTTTGTGTCACTAATATCAATGAAGCTATGTTTTGCGTTAGCCTGTGGTCTAACTGAGACACTTTGTGTCAAAATCTAGATTTGCAAAAGGATTCAAAGGTTTTACGGTCATATGCATAATAGCTACAGTGTAGTTTTGGAAAGGACGATCTTAAAGAGGACATATTCTGCTCATTCTCAGGTCTATATCAGTATGTAGTGTCTCTACTGAAACATGTCTCCATGCTTTAATGTTCAAAAAGCTCTTTATTGTTCTCATACTGCCTGTGCTGCAGCACCTCTTTTCAGCCTCTGTCTGAAACCAGAGCCCAGTCTGCTCTGATTGGTTAGCTGGCCGGCTCTGTTGTGATTGGTCAACCACTTAGAGATATCCCGCCCCTTAGCCTATCACATACAAATATGTTGGAGCGCTAGCCAATAGAAGTGTGAGTGTTACATAGTGATGTCATTATGTTATAGAAGTCAACAAAGGAGTCCAATGGAGGCGTTTCAGGCAGGGTGGGGGGGGAGTGTGTGGGAGAGAAACTCCCTCTGGAGGGAACACAGGGATTTTAGCCTTTGCAGACAATAAAGCTGACTTTGACTTTACATGCACTAAAAACCTATAGAACTACAGGAGAGGGGAAAAAGCAGAATAGAGCCTCTTTAAGGCATTTCCAACAATGAAATAAACTATAAACTTTACATAAAAATAAATAGATTTGATGAATACTGCAATAAATGAATACACTACATATCATGGTGCAAGTAAGTTGCAGAGAAAAGATAACATAAGATAACAAATTATGTATAATACTGTAGTACAATAAATACTGTAGACTCTGATAAGTAACTTCATGAAGAGGTCTTATAGCCTTTGGGATGAATTTATAATTTATAACGGGAATTGTGTTAAATCAAATAACACAATGTACAGTATTATTCCAGCAAAGAAGTGCTGCTTGTACTGCAACAGGAACTTAGAGACAGCAGGGGACAAACAGCCAGCACAGAGAGCGGTGGGTGGGAGGCTGGCACAACACCAAATGTTTACCAGAGGAGCAAAGGGTATTCATCCATAAGGACATTATTTACTGTGATTTTAAGATCTTAAGTGCTGCTGTTGCTTCCCCAACATTTCCATAATAGCAGTATGAAAACACTCGAGAGAACAAAAGGCCGCAGCATGGTCAGCAGAATCCTTCCTTGTTGGAACAGCTGGGACACGACCAAATAGTCTGCTTGGCTGAGAGCACTCCTGGTAATTATTTACACAGCAAATCACGGCCATTTTTTATCCAAGACTCGCAGTAACCAAACCATTCACCCAGAGCGCTGGGAGGGCATCTCATTTTAAAAATATCTTGCATACCATTTACACATACTGCTTCTCACATAGTTGCTTAGTAGTTCTCAAGTGTGCACCACGAGACACAGACTAAAGTGAAGGGATTTGAGAAAACTAAACATTGGATCTGATTTTTACACAGCAGCTTTGACACATGTCTTTGTTTTAACACGTTATTTGTCCTCATGGGGTTGTCTGGCCTGTAACGATCAGCGAAAACACTGCTGTGCAAATGACTAAAATCACCTTAAATCACCTTGTTTGTAGTCAATTAGTTCCATGTGTCAGAGATAATCCCTCCAAACATTGACTTAGACCCCATTTACACGGAAACGCAAACTAACCGAATTCGATATCAAAAAAGTATTCCGTTCACACGCATTCGGCTCAATTAACGTGTCCGTTCACACGAGACCGCTTGACCCGCTGGAAACGCTGTAGTACATATGCCGGGCCTCTAAGTGGCGCTGTACTTCCGCCACAAAATACACCAAAAGCAGCGAAGAAGACCTCCGACCATGGTTGCCCTTCTGTTTATGCCCCGCGGTGGATTTAGCAACATGTAATTCATGTCGTTCTCCATGTCCACTTGTTGCTGATGGTTGTAGTAGAGGAGCTGTAGATTTTGCACTAACATCTGTAGCATGGTCGGTAGCAGTAGCAGTACCTTTAACAACTTCTCTCTACATATCAAACATACCGGTAAACCGGCATCGTTTGCTGTGAAAGCAGATAACTCTAACCACGCAGAATTAAATCCTGTGTTCCTCCGATACTTTTCTTTTCTTTGATTTATCCATAGTTCGCTCATCGAGCCGGGGGTCAGGTTATTCACCTGCAAGAAAAGGCGCTGGCGCGGGACCGTAGCAGGATATGACACATATTTTAGTTGACCTAATTAAAACCGTTTTGTTTTTTATTTATGTGTCACAGTATCACCTCAAAACACAGGATACGAAACATTTTCAACCGTGCAACAAAATATAAATAGTCCTACAAATACTTTTATTTAATTTCCTTCTTATTTATGTCTAAACTCAAGGGTCCCAGAGCAGAGGGCTTAAAAAGCCGCATGCGGCTCGAGAGCCGCGGGTTGCCGACCCCTGGTATAGGACGTACACACTGAGCCGTTTGGCCCCCCAGAGCGCTCCGGTTGCAGATCTATCCACCTTGGGACCCGTTATCGTTTGCGGGGTCCGTTTCCGCGGTG